ACTACAAGCCTGCCATTTAACATATCTACAGGTTCTTATAAACACTCTAATGGGCCTCATGTTTGAGTTTTGTCTAAGGCCTCGTAAAGTCTAGAGTCGCCCCTGCATATAGCAGTCCAGGAATGAGAATTACTTCCATCATGCAGTGGTGTGTCCTGGTTTTGTGCTGCCCTAGGCATGACAAAACTCAGGCCCCCCCACCCCACAACCCTCCTCTTCCCCCGCCACTCCCCCTTCCCCACCTTCTAAATACACACACACACATTCACTGACAGACACACATACACTAGCTAACAGACACACAAACTCACTCACAGACACACACACACTTACAGACACACACACACACTAACACATTTTTTTTTAAATTCAATCCCCCCAGCCTCCTTACCTTTGGGAATGCTGGGGTGGATTCTCGTTTCCATGGGGTCCAGTGGGGCTGCAGGGCGGGCGGCAGCCGGTGACTGCAGGCGGCGAGGGAGCACTGATCCTCCTGTTCAGCTCCCTCGCGCGCCTCAGAGTGATGCCGGGAGCCGGAATATGATGTCATATTCTGGCTCCCGGCATCACTCTGCGGCGCGTGAGGGAGCTGGACAGAGAGAGCTCACTAATCAGTGCTCCCTCGCCAGAGCCGCCCGCCTGGTTTGTCAGTTAGCCGCCAGGCTAACAAGACATTTGCCTGGGCAGTTGGAGGTGGCTTTTTTTGCCGCCCCCTTGAAAGTACCGCCCAACGCAAATGCCTTGTTTGCCTCACGGCTAATACGTCCCTGCCATCACAGCATACCATTTGCAAAATAGACAATCCGGGGTATTCAAAATAGGGTATAATTTGTCTTTTTCAGCAGCCACTTAGTCACAAATCCTGGCCAAAGTTAGTGTTCATATTTGGTTTTTTTGCATTTTTCACACAAAAACTGCATTTTCATTGGCATACATATTACTACTCTAAAACACTCATATTTGTGTTCAGCGGTGTTGCACAATTACAACAGTACCCCTCATGTACAGATTTTATGGCATTTTGGTAAGTTACAGGGTCAAATAAAGAGTTTGCACATTTCAGTCTTCATACCTGGACATTTGACAAAGTTGATTTTCTCGGCCTATGCCGCCTTTGAGAGAGTATGGCAGCTTGTGTAATAACATTTCAACCATTATGGCATACCATTTTCAAAATTAGGCAACCCAGAGTATTCTAAATGGCATATTTTAAAGTGTTTGGACTACCCACTGTATCACAAATACAGATCCCATTAGTGGTTATATTTTTTATTTGTGCTTTTTCCACACACAAACTCAATTTTCACAAAAATGTCATAATCCAAATATAGTTTGTTCAGTTAGTTCAATAAAGCCTCAGTAGTTTTTATTATACATCATCTCAGAGTACCACCACGGAACAGTTTAAAAAAATAAATTAAACATTGGTAAGTCACAGAGCCAAATATATTAGATGCCCTTTTCACTTTGTAAATTTAACAAAGTGATTTTCTGCGCTTATGTCACCTTTGAGAAAACTTGACACCCTAAGAAAGAAAATTGTCCCCGTGATGGCATAGCATTTAACAAGTACATTAAATGTATTATTTTGAGTCGTTTGGTGTAGTCACTTTATAATGGCTGGGCTTAATGTAGACAGGAACAGGTTACAGTCAGGGGAATCCAGAAGTCAGAGTAGTCTGCAAAACAAGTCAATAAGTCAGTAAAGCAGCTAACAAAGAGTAATCAGGACAAGCCAAGTTCAGAAATCCAGAAAAATCTAACAAACTCGCAATGTCCCATAAAGAGTTATTTAATAGTTCAGTTCTGTATGGTAGATTTGAAACAGTCTGTAGAATGTAGGTAGAGATGGGAAGGGCAGTAATAACTGGAGTACTTTCAGACTCTTTCACTGGCTAACAAGCATCTGCTGTTACTGTAATTCCAGGTGTAGCCATATATAGGGGGAATTTATGTAGCAGCCAGGTTTGAGCCTTCCTAGAAGAGTAGAAGATGTTATAGCTGCAAAGGGGGGATCAACTACATATTAATATCTATGTAAAAGTTCCTTTTGGTGTAATGGTCAGGTGTCCCAATACTTTTGTCCATATAGTGTAACTACAACTACATGTACCTAATGGAAAATGAATTTATTTAGGCACCAGGTCAGGTCAGTATTAGCAACCAACATTACAGTCAATTACAATTACCTACTATGACTGCTGTCAGTATACAGATAAAATGCTGCACAGTGTAAAGGCAATTTGGAAATCTACATTTCCATAACGTTATTCAAGTCCCTCCATTTCTGACTATAATTCTTCTGGTATATGATGAGTTCCGGGCACTTTCTCAGAGTCTGAATTTTGAATCAGCTGGTAATAAAACTGTACAACAGCTTCAAACCCTTCTTTTGATATCCGTTCATTCACACCATGAAACCTGAAAGGAAAAAAAAATTAAAAATAGATCAATATCATTCATGTACAGTGGTGCCTCGGACTATGAGTTTAATCCATTCTGTGACCAAGCTCGCAGTCCAAAAAACTCGTAATTTAACACACATTTTCCCATTAAAATCAATGGGAATTCAAATAATGTGTTCCAGACCCTCATACATACATTTAAAATAATTTTTAATGGTAATTACTCTACCAATTATTACCCCTAACATCACAAATGAATAATTCACAATAAAAAAATAAATATTATACAAATTAACCTGGGGGTTACTGAATGGAAGTAGAGTCTCCTTCCAAGAGAACGTCAGGAGCTGTAACCTTTGGAGTTCTCTCTTCACTATCGGATATTTTACGCTTTGTGGAGAGTGTAGGCTAAACTCGGTTTCACTTTTCTCAACCCTTTTCCCCCACTTTCAACATTATTACTCTTACAAACCTTTACAAGGAACCTATCTAATGACACCTGTTTTTGCCTTCTTTTCAAAATTTCACGGAAAGGTGACATTGCGTTATCATTAAACAAATTTACACTACGAATTGCTACAGTCTTATTTGGGTGATTCTTCTCCACAAAATCTTGCAAAAACTCCCACGCTTTGCACGCCTCCTTAATCCTCTGAGAACTGACAGATTATTTTGCCTTGTCCTTCTCAGACGATAGCTCCTCTATAACGTCATGCTGCTGCTCCTAAAGCAGATCCATCAGCTCGTTGTCATGTTCCCCCACCAACTCCTGGATGTCTTCATGGTCCACGTCCAGTACCATAGTCTTCCCCAAAGACATGATTTTATCTACGACTGGCTGCTCTTCAGGAATGAAGCCTTCAAAAACACGTTCAAGAACGCAACCAGACCACAGTTTCCTCCAAGAGGAATTGAGGGTTATCTTGGTGACTGTCATTTAGTGTCCCTTGGTCCCTGCTTCTCTAATCCTCTGCTCGTCCAGGATTCAGCTACAGCATACAGTGATTCTAGCCCTCTGGAACCCTGTAAAATTCCCCAATATAGTGGACAAGACTAGTTGCATTGGGTAAAACCAAAGAACTGTTTATTTCAGAGAAAAACACATACATTTATCGCCCTACACACAACAGGGCGTCTTCAGCCAGCACAATGTAATCCACACCCTGGTGTCTTGGTGTCTGGGACATGATAACTTAATTTCCTGCTGGACACCAATACACATAGCACAATTGCTTTTACATAATACAATTAACACAACACATCCAGCTCAACATTTTGCATAATATCTCAACATTAACACAATGAAACACCATATCCTACATATCACTTTAAAGTCTGAGACCAGGCCTATAGTCTGTGGGCAAGAGGCTAGCTGTTATGCCTCTCCAGTAGGCTGTGGCACAGGAGCTTCCGTGACAGTGACCCCCTCCCAAGCTTTATCAATGAACTTCAGGCAGCTGACAATATGGAAAAAAGTATTTCCAAAACTTTCGGAGTGTGAGGTTCGTTCCTTCAGTCACGTTGAAACATTGCTGAAACAAGGCCTTAGTATACAGCTTTTTGAAGTTTGAGATGACCTGCTGATCCATGGGCTGAATGAGTGACATGGTGCTGGGAGGGAGGAACATGACCTTGACGAAATGGAATTCCTCCAGTAGGTCATCCTCAATGTCTGGAGGATGTGCAGGAGCATTGTCCATAACCACCAAGGCTTTGGGAAGGAGGCCCCTATCAAGTAGGTATTGCTTGACAGAGAGACCAAAGCACTCATTGACCACTCAACAAACAGCATCCGCGTGACAGAAGCCTTGCTGTTGGACCTTCATAACACATTGAGCTGACTCTTTTGCACCTGACATTTCTTGAAGGCTTATGGATTTTCCAAGTGGTAGAGGGTCTTTCATGGGCTTATGACTGGGCATGGCCTTTTCCTCAGCAGTGATCTAGGTCCTCTTGGGCATCTTCTTCCAAAAAAAGCCCCGTCTCATCGCAGTTGAAAACTTGCTGCGGCACTCCTTGACGAATAACTCTGCTGCCTTGGTGTCGGCACTCGCAGCCTCCCCATTCCAGATGACACTATGGAGGCCAATCCTTCTCTTAAAGTTTTTGAACCAACCACGGCTTGCTTTGAAGCTCTCTTTGTCTGTTACATATGGACCTGGCAGCTTAGTCTTCAGGTCATTGTACAAGGCCCTTGCCTTCTCGCAAATTATGCTCTTGGTGACTGTATCACCTGCCAACTGTTTCTCATTTATCTAAACGAGAAGCAGCTTCTCGACCTCTTCGAGAATACTAGGACGCGGCTTCGTTACCGTCGTTACTCCCTTGGCTATATTGATAGCCCTGATCATGTCCTTACTCTTCAGTTAACCACCAGAAAAATTGATGGTGCAAATTGTCGAGGTTATACGGTTATACAACTTCCTAAGTCCACAACTTGCATACCTTCTTCGTGCTTCTCGATGATATCCTTCTTAACCTGCACTGTAATCATCTTCTTCCTGCCTTGCATCTTCATCATCTTAGGGGCCATTCTCAACACTACAGTACACACTGCACTTCACGTAGACACAAAAATGTTTGCTGAACAAACACGTGGTCGTGAAAGAACAATGAACATGTGAATAGAATACAGTATGTAAACGCAAGGATGCTTTCTCGATTATAAACGTACAGCAAAAATCGTAGTCCGGGCTTGCCTAAAATGTTTACTCGGCTCCTAAGTCATAGCTCATAGTCCAAAATAAATTTTATTAAAAATTTAGGCTCGTAGATCGAAAAACTCGTGATCCATGTTAGTCGTATAACATTTGTAGTATTTGTATTTATTCTAACATCTTGAAGTAAATGTAAAATGTGGTTTAATTTTTTTTTTTTTTTTTAGACAATCTTTATTTAAGTTTTGGTTAGTTTTTTTTGCACATTCAAGGCAAGGTACAGCATAACAAATGTATGCAAAGGAACAATCTTAAATGGATAAAAGCATTTTAGTACGATAAATTTAGTACAATAAAACTGTTTCAAAATATTTGTGGCTTGTCAAGTTCGAACTTTGTATTGTGTCTTGAATACATCAGTGTTTAAACTCGTCGGGTGTGTGTGTTTGGCCTACTATGTACTATGTCGGGGTAATTTCTTATGGGATATGCACTTGAGTCCCTGAGCGCGTATTGGGAAGCGCTTAAGGTCTTGTTCTATGTTGTGTCTTGTGGTCGGTGCATCCAGCCAAGTGTTCTTCCACGTTATGCTATCATCTGTGCCTGATTTGGACCTGTTGGGGGTCACGGGGTAGTCTCTGTTCATTCTGTTACCCCTACTCCCGGGGTGTCTGGCATTTCGTGGCTTGTTTTCGGTCTACACTGGCTGGGTCGCTGGCCTGTTTTGGTGCGTTTGAGAGTGCTGTTATGTGGTGTTTGTGCTCATTGTGGTCAATAGGCGTGCGCTGTAGTCTTAGTCATTCTATGTCTTGTCTATAGTCTGTATGTGAAATATGGTACAGTTACTTTTTTTGTGTTCTTGACTTGAATGTGGGCAAGGCAGGGGAGGGAAGTGGGAGAGAAGGTACAGAGTGGGATAGGAAGGGTTTTCCCCTTCCACTCGGCTCCACTTTTTTGTGCACCTCTGTCCCTGAGGGTTTCCTTTTCTACTTCTGTTCTGGTCAGTCTATCGAGGTGGGTCGGCAGGTTGTACTCCTGCCTGGCCTCTGTTTTTTCTGGAGATGTATGTCATCCATGGGTACCAGGTCAGGGCACATTGTTCCTGGCATCCTCCAGACGTGGATATAGGTCCCGGGTTGGGTGCCACATCTCCAGCGTGTGCGGTGTGTCTTCATGCATACGGTGTAGGATATCGGGTGTCCTGTACCAGCGCGTGAGTAATTTATAGTTTAACACTTGGTATTTTGAGCTAAGGGAGCATTTGTGTGTGAGCGTGAGGATGTTATCCCATTCTTGTGTGGTTAATGTCGTCCCCGTGTCTCTTTCCCAGTGGCTCGTGTATCCAATCTGTGTGTCGTCCCTGGCTTGGGTCTTGAGCATGGTGTAGAGTGTCGAGATTCCCCTGGAAAGATGTGTTCGGGTGGTGCACAGATGTTCAAAGTGTGTGAGTGGCCTGTGTAAGTGTCCCCGTCCTGGTAGGTTCTGGAAGTATGTTTTGATTTGGTGGTAGCGGAACTGCTCGAGCATCGTTGGTCTCCTGTCCGGGCATAAGTCTGCTGGTGTTTTTAGTCCAGTCGGACCAGACCATTGGTGAAAGTACATCCAGTCGGTGGTTTGAATGCCAGACAGGTTGCTTTGCGTTAGAGAATCTGTTGTATGTTATGGGTGTCAGAGGGCTAGGGGATGAGGTGAGTTGCTCCCTGTATCTTACTGTTGTCCACGACCTTAGGGTGGCATCAATCAGGGGGTTTTTGGTGTGAAGCGCACTATACGTGGTGCCGCCTAACCATAATCTGGAGGAAATGCTTTCTCCGGTCTGCCCGAGCTCCAGGGTGACCCATTGCTTCGTAGGGTGTAACACATGCCAATCGACCAGCCGATGCAGGTGGGCAGTCTGGTAATACTTTTCAAAAGAGGGGAGGCCTGTCCCTCCTGCCTGCTTTGGAAGTTCCAGTATAGTTTTTTTAGTGCGGGTCAGACGCTGGTTCCACACGGGCCGGCGGATAGCCGTCGTCAGGAAGCCAAAGAAGGCTTTGGGGACTGCAATTGGGTAATTTTATTTTTTATTCTATGCATTACAAATACCTATAGAAGTGTTTTACAATTTCTGGGTGTGTCATTATAAACAGGCACAGCTTATTTCTCTATTTCCTCAGTTCTGTAAGCCTATAAGTAGAACTTAAACCTACAATTATCTAAACCATCCAAATACAAGTTAACCACCAAAAAAAATTATGCCATAAATTCACTGAGCAAGAAAAAAGGAAGGGAAGGGGAAAAAAAAGGGAAGGAAAGTACGGCTGGTAAAAATTGTCGCAAGACGCTCCAGTAGTATTTTTGTTTTTGTATCTTTTTTCCTGTCTCCCTTTTCTTCTCCGTAGCTCATTTGATAAAATTAAGGAGAAGAGATACGGAAAGGTTAAATACACGCCCTGTTAAAGTAGCCGTTAAGCAAACACCTCCATATTAAACAAGCTTAAGTCCTCAGACGACTGCAAGTCTAATTGCTAATTGCAAGAGAGTGCACTAAAGCACCAAAGAGTGATTTTTTTAATTTGTCTGCAAATCTTGAAACCTAAAATGGCTGCCAAATAAGCCAGGAAGATAGATCGATACCTAAAAAGGATAAGAAAGGGGATACTAAAGCAATTATCCTTCTTCACATCTCCACCACAAAACAAGAACAAGAGAAAGGTTCAGAATCGTATGCTCTTAAATTTACTAGAGGAAAAAAAAAAAAAATAGATGAAGAGTCTTTTAAAATTCCACATATGAAAGAATTTCATCCCCTCCTTCAGGAATATCTCAAAACATGCTTTGAGTTCCAATTGAGCGAAATGAAAGCAGAAATTACAATAAACACAATGTTAAATAAAAATAAGGAAAGACATGAGGAATCATTTGAAGATAAATGAAGAAAAATGTTTAACTCTTGAGTTTCAACTTGCTCAACAACAAGAATTTCCAAGAGAATTAAAAAGGAAAAATCAGTGACATTGAATTAAGGTTGGCAGATACGGAAGACAGATCTAAACTAATTAATTTAGGATTTAGAGACATACCGGAAAAAAATTGTTAACGATAAGCTGGTACAGGAGTAGGCAACCTTCGACACTCCAGATGTTATGGACTACATTCCTCATAATGTTCTTACACCGATAAAGCTGGCAAAGCCTAATTGGAGGTGTAGTCCAACATCTAGAGTGCCGAAGGTTGCCTATGCCTGAACTAGTAGATTATATTATGGATTTTTTTTCTTCAAATATCAATGCATGTTCCAGTACTAGAAAGATGCCATAGAACAACAAGAACAACTACTCTTCCACAGACGGTATGCAGAGAAGTTGGGGTCCACTGTTTATCCAGTAAAGTCAAAAAACAAGTTTTGAAACTCTACAGATCTACTATGCTACAAGATCCTTTTAATAAGATTAAAACATTCCCAGAAATATCATACCACACAAGATACACTTTTGACCCTTCAACAAATATTCTAAGACATAAGAACATTTGTTATAAATTGGGTTAACTAATGAAAATTTTCATATATCACCAATCCCAAGTTCTGTCCTTCCAGGAATTGAACTTATTAAATAAATGGATGCAGGAAAATAATCTTACCAGATCCCGAAGGGCCAGAGAAAAAACATCTACCCAGAAGGAGGAAGAGACATTTTATTCTTGTTTTTTTTTTATTTTTTTTTATTTTTTATAATTCACCAATAAGTACTCATTTACTATAATTTTTGTTGAAGACTAGGGATAATGGAATATTTATGATTTTTTTTTTTACAAATATAAGCAAGAGATAGGGAACATGATTTCAGCACTATATAGGGACATCACAGGAAGTAGGGGCAAAATTGAATTCACAATATTAAACACAATAGATAAATGTCCCTTCACACAGAGGGGGAGGGGGTAGAGAAATTACCACAAACTATGCATAAAGATTTGACTAAAGTGTTATAGTCACAAAATATAGGCAAGCATATAAGAATTAAAAATGTATATATGTGATCGATAATTTATACACATGAAAAAGGTAGCGTGGGGATACAGTTGAAACTATATTAAGTAATGTAATGATATACAAGTATGATGTTGATTTTTTGTGGGGGTCAAACTTTTTCTTTAGAATATAAAATGACTTTACATATTATAAATGATGGTGAAGAGAATAGATTATTAAGCTAATCACAGTTGAAAAGCGCTCTTAAAAACACAGGGTTGGAGTTAAATAACACATTATTATTATTATTTTTTTCTCAGATTATGCATAGTTGACCAATTACTGGAAGTAAGGATATATATAATATTCCAAGAGCCCTGTTGAAAGTAGTAATTTCCTGTAGTATAACGTAAAAACCAATAATCAGTGGTGTGATCCTTGTCTGCAGGTATCACGGTCCTCTAGTGTAAACAACAGGCACGGTTGTTTGGTTTGCATATAATCCAGGCAGTTTTATTGTTAACCCCTTAAGGACGGAGCCAAATGTACACGTTGTGAACGAAACAAAATGTAATTTTGGCCAGTGTTTGTGACTAAGTGGCTACTAAAAAAGACGGGACATACCCCGTTTGCAATACCTTGGGTTGTCTACTATTGCAAATGGTATGCCATCATAGGGGTAATTTTCATTCTTGGGCTACCATAGGGTCTCAAAGGCAACGTAACCAATCTGGCGAATTTTAATGTGAGAAAAATGAAACACAAGCCTTATATTTGACGCTGTAACTTTTGAAAACACCATAAAACCTGTACATGAGGGGTACTGTTGTACTCGGGAGACTTTGCTGAACACAAATATTTGTGTTTCAAAACAGTAAAAAGTATCGCAGCAATAATATTGTCCGTGTAAGTGCTGTTTGTGTGTGAAAAATGCAAAAAACGTCACTTTTACTGGCGATATCATCGTTGTAATACATTTTACTAATATTTGTGTTCAGCGAAGTCTCCCGAGTAGAACAGTACCCCCCATGTACAGGTTTTATGGTGTCTTGGAAAGTTATAGGGTTAAATATAGTGATGCAAATTAAATTCCCTTTACTTTCGGCATGGGTTGTCAGGCAGGTCCTGCTAATTGTAATTAATTAAGATACCTAATTATGTAAAAATATTATATTAATTTTACATATATATTTATGTATGTATATATATACGTATGTGAATATATATATATCTCAATTTTTTTACATATTTTTATTTCTATATAGGTATATCTATAGTGATATATACGTATATATTTATGTATATAGATATATATATTATTTCATTCTACGTGTATTTTGATATAAATATATATATATATATATATATATATATATATTAATATCACAATACAGTTAGAACGAAAAAAACACATCTATATATTTTTAAATTATTTTTTTAATTTTATTTTTTAATGTATTTACATATTTAATTTTTTTATATTATATAGAAATATATATAACAATAATTATATATATATTAAATCAATATCAGTCTATGTGTAATTTGATATATATATATATATATATATATATAATTATATATATATTAATAGTAAAATACACCTAGACAGTGTGTGTGTGTATGTATATGTGTATATATATACTTAGATCATATATATATAATATATATATATATATATATATATATATATATATATATATTACATATATATATGATCTAAGTATATATATAAATATATATATATATATATATATATATATATATATATATATATATATTTTTTTTTTTTTTTACACTTTTTAACTTTTTAAAATTTTATTTAATTTTATTTCCAGCCAGCAGGGGGACCACCTGTCATTACAGGCAGCCCCCCTGCTGGCAATACAGCAGGCAGCTATCCCGGCCATGTGATTGTGAGGTCCTCGCAAGGACCTCACTCTCACATGGCCGGGGGGGCTGCCAGGGGGTCGGACGTGCCGTGGGGGGCTCCCAGGTAAGTAAAGAAAGACCAGAGGGCTTATTATTACGCCCGGCGGCATTTAGAGCCGCTTAAAATAGGGCGAAATAGTACGCCCTCCGGTCTTAAGGGGTTAAGCTGTAGTTATTCTGGTGACTATAGTGTCCCTTTAAATGTTAGAAGTGTGGAAAATTTAATATTGCATAATCTGCTGTTTTAAGAAACACATCAATCTAAATTATAAGATCTTGCCATCATTACCTCTATTTTATCTTACGCATATGATGGATAATTTAGACATATCTAAGTGGATACATCAAGAGATTACTAAAGTCTGCATGTTATGGAATGATTTCAGGTTTAAAACAGAACAACAATTATATACAATTCCAAACCACAAGATTTGGAATTACATTAGAATTAGAAGCTTTTTAAATATCAGAAATGTATAAGGGAAACTTATTATATCCTGTGCAAAATTAAATTGTATTGTTAACCTGGGGAAAGACACCAAACAACGATCAAAATGTATGAAAGTTCTAAATACCATTAAGGGGATAACTATTCCAAAAGCAAAAAATAGGTGGTCCAGAGACCTTAAAAATAGATTAATATTAAGGAATGGCATTATGACCTGAAAACGTTTTACTCTTCAAAACACTGTCTCAATATAGGGGAGACACATTATAAAATACTAAATAGATGGTATTTAACACCTATGAAACAAACCAAGATGAATCCCCCAATTATTTCTGCTGAAGATGCGGTTTAGAGAGGGCTGGTGAGCTACATATATGGTGGAACTGCCCTGTGATTAAAACAAACTGGAATATACTGCTCGGTTGTATTAATGATCTCCTGAATCTAACCCCTTAAGGACACATGGCATGTGTGACATGTCATGATTCCCTTTTATTCCAGAAGTTTGGTCCTTAAGGGGTTAAAACAGGAAAGGAATATAGCGATGGTCTTTTTACCAATGATGGCTAAAAACGAAAAAAATTACTTCTGATACATATTTCGATGGCATTTAAATGTTCTATTGCCAAAAATTGGAAAGCAGCTATAGTGGATTTGTGGCAAATTAAAGAGAGAGTCAAGTTCCAGTGCAAAATGGAACACGCAATTGCATCAAATTTTTGTATCCAGAAAATAAATCATAATATATGGGACAACTGGATATATGTACTGGATGCGACCATTTAATGGGGGAGTCGAGCCCCTGAGAAAACCCTCACAAAGACTGATACATTTTACCAATGCCTCCATACGGGAAACAAAAAATAATTCCACTGCTGCTTCAACTTTTCATAATTTTTCTATTTATCTTTGAATTGTATGACGTTGCACATTGTGTGATATGCCCTTTATTTATTATTTATTAAATATTTTACAAGGAAGGATACATTGAGATTTCTCTCATTTTCAAGTAGGTCCTGGGTTTATGTAATTTGTGTATGTAATTTATCTAGATATTCTTACATTTAAAAATCAATAAAAAAAAAAAAATTTAAAAAGCAAAAGCAAGTGACCCACGATTTACAAATGAGGCTGGAAGAAAGCCAACAAAGGGATAAACGAGGCACCAAGTTACTAAACATAATTAGCTTTTGAACTGCACTAAAGCTGTGTTAACTAACTTTTGCACTTTTGTTTGCACTTTCTAAATTTAGTAGATTATACCTTATGAGTCAGTTAATCCATCACAGACACACCCGACAATAGACTATTGTTAAGAAAGAAAAAGTAGCGGCACTTAGTTTACCTGCTTAAATCTTCTGGTTTCATGACTATGGGATTGAACCGGTAGATGCTGTCAGTCAGGTTTACAAAATGGCGGCTATCAGTATTCCCAACACACACACCTGAACAAGAACAGAGGAATATAAAGATTGTTGAGCACAGGACTTCAGACCTTCACCTGCATCCCTCATCCTATTCAGATTGGGATACCACATACCTATGCATGGGATGTGTGAACAGTGGTTTAGTGCAGCCTACAACATAGAAACATAGAATGTGATGGCAGATAAGAACCATTCGGCCCATCTAGTCTGCCCAATTTTCTAAATACTTTCATTAGTCCCTGGCCTTATCTTATAGCTAGGATAGGCCTTATGCCTATCCCACGCATGCTTAAACTTCCTCACTGTGTTAACCTCTACCACTTTAGCTGGAGGGCTATTCCATGCATCCACTACCCTCTCAGTAAAGTTATACTTCCTGATATTATTTTTAAACCTTTACCACTCTAATTTATGTCCTCTTGTTGTGGTAGTTTTCCTTCTTTTAAATATAGTCTCCTCCTTTACTGTGTTGATTCCCTTTATGCATTTAAATGTTTCTATCATATTCCCCCTGTCTCGTCTTTCCTCCAAGCTATACATGTTAAGATCCTTTAACCTTTCCTTGTAAGTTTTATCCTGCAATCCATGAACTAGTTTTGTATCCCTTCTCTGAACTCTCTCTAAAGTATCAATATCCTTCTGAAGATACGGTCTCCAGTACTGCGTACAATACTCCAAGTCAGGTCTCACCAGTGTTCTGTACAATGGCATGAGCACTTTCTACTGTTAATACTTCTCCCTATACAATGAAGCATTCTGCTAGCATTTCCTGCTGCTCTATTACAATGCCTACTTAAAGGTCACTATAGTCGGGGCAGGTGCAAAGATTTTTGACTACACAGGCAAAGATGCATTTTGTTGTCACCACCCTCCCCTCGCAACAATAGTAAGGGGATTCGGATTTTTGTGCCCCCCTGCTCTGGTACCCGAAGCGGTCGCCTGTGTCGCCTTATGGACATGCCAGCCCTAACTATAGTCACCAAAACAACCTTAGCTTATTGAAGCAGTTTTGGTGTATAGATCATGTCCGTGCAGTCTCACTGCTCAATTCTCTGCCATTAAGGAGCTATATCAGTTTGTTTATATAGCTTTAATCAAACCTCCATGCATGTGACTTACAGAGCCTTTCTAAACACTTCCTGTAAAATGTCTAATGTTTACACTTCCTTTATTGCAAATTCTATTTTATTTAGAATTTCTTATTGTCTGTTCTATTTATAGCTTGCTAATCCCTGTAGGAGCCTACGGTATGTAAATAAAATAAAATTTACAGAGCAGGCAAGAAAAACGTTTAAAGTAAATTACAAAATTAAGTCATTGTTTTCATGCAGGCTCTGTCAGTCACACCCATGAGAAATGTGGTTAGGGCTGCATAAACAGAAACAAAAGTGAAGTTCCTTAATGGCAGAGAATTGAGCAGTGAAACTTCAGAGGCATGATCTATAGACAAAAACTGCGTTATTAAGCAAAGTTATTTTGGTGACTATAGTGTGACTTTAAGTTTAAATTTAATGTAAGGGACCAAATGCAATTAGTGCAGTTAGTCTGAAAGCCCTTGCAGTCAGTTCTATCTTGCTGTCAGTTTTCTCCTGAGTTTCAGACTCACCTGGACCTACTGGTGCTGCTGAGAACACATCACAGATGGTGTGTTTCAGTGTTTGGTACCCAAAGTTTTCCACATCATAGGGACTTACTGGAAGTGGATCAAATGCGCTGACAACTGAAAGGACCACTTGCTCATCCATGATGGTATTTCTTACAATGTTCACCACCTACAAAAAATAAAATCAAAACTCAAGTGATCACTATAAGATTTTTTTGATGACTTATAGTCCCCCTATACTATAAAGATAAACCCCTTCTGTGATGTAAAAAGGCACAATTTTTACAGACAGTAATTTGAGTCTCTGCCATACAGTCCAATCACGAAAACACTTAACAGTGACATGTGAGATTTAGTGACATGGAGGAGTAAAATTACTAAAAAGGTATTTTCGTACCTCCTCCACGGTATGTGCAGGGTGCAGCCGGAAGTTGACAGTAGCTCTGGCAGTTGGTGGGATCACATTTGACTATGGGGAAAAATAAAAATAAAAAAACTTTTTAGTTTTTTAGTTTTAGGTGTTTATTGCACAATTAATAGAAGCTAAAATTGGTCACAATAAATATTGCCAAAAGGGACACCTACAATGAAACAGCAAGTGGATCAGGTATATGTTGTACAAACAAAAACCCTAAAGGTGTGAGGAGGAACCCTGGGACACGCGAGCCGAGTTCGGAGGTCACGGCCTGGTATTCGCGCATTCGGGCAGCTAAACTAAATGTCCCATAAACTTCTGATAGACAAGGATTTATGGGATATGCACAAACACATCTAAAAATAATGGTATCAGGCCCGTCTGAGCAATTTCCTGGTCTGGGGATTTACAAGAGTATATGTCTTGGTATTTTTCACCTTTGTTGTTTTAAAGAAGAGTAATATTACATAATTGTATTTACTACACAGTTCTAGTCAAATGAAAATTGAATTGCAAAAGTTAAAGAAAATGGGCAAGTTGGAAAAAAGTTAATATAGGAAATTGTGCCATTTAGCTATATTTTGCTAAAAGTGTTCAATTTAGTTTACAATTCACGGCAATTTAATTACGGTTATACACCAAATACCAGTTCATGCTAGAGAATGCACCAAAAAAATAAAATTAATAAAAGTTTTTTAGGCATCAGTACTCATTTTCAATTTAAATTGACCCGATAAACCTGGTGACAGTCAGTGAATGTACCTTAATTCCTGCATCGAACATAGTGAGAGCCGTAGTTGTTCGAACAAGGGCATTACTAGATGGAGTTTGTTCCAGAATTCTGAATTTAAACATAAATACTTTAGTTTGCTTTAAGCAAATCAATTATTCTAACTTACATACACTTGTGACTTTAAAGATACATTATATAAAATATAAGACAAACTGTACTATGCATAATGTACAGGTGATACTCAAAAAATTAGAATATCGTGCCAAAGTACATTTATTTCAGTAATGCAACGTAAAAGGGGAAACTAATATATGAGATAGATGCATTACATGCAAAGCAAGATAGTTCAAGCCGTGATTTGTCATAAGTGCGATGATTATGGCTTACAGCTCATGAAAACCCCAAATCCACAATCTCAGTAATTTAGAATATTACATGCAATCAATAAAACAAGGAGTGTACATAGAACAATATCGATGCTCTGAAAAGTATAAGCATGCACATGGACTCAGTACTTGGTTTGTGCCCCTTTTGCAGTAATTACTGCCTCAATGTGGCACGGCATGGAAGCTATCAGCTTGTGGCACTGCTGAGGTGTTATGGAAGACCAGGATGCTTCAATAGCGGCCTTCAGCTCTTCTGCATTATATGGTCTCGTGTCTCTCATCTTTCTCTTGGCAATGCCCCGTAGATTCTCTATGGGGTTAAGATTATGGGGGGGTGTTGGCCAATCAAGAACAGTAATCCCACGGTCATTGAACCAGGCTTTGGTGCTTTTGGCAGTGTGGGCAGGTGCCAAGTCCTGCTAGAAAATAAAGGCAGCAACCCCATAAAGCTCGTCTGTGGAAGGAAGCATGAAGTGCTCCAAAATCTCCTGGTAGACGGCTGCGTTGACCCTGGACTTAATGAAGCACAGTGGACCAACACCAGCAGATGACATGGCTCCCCAAATCAACACAGACTGTGGAAACTTCATACTGGACACTGCATCTTGCAGTGTGTGCCTCTCCATTTTTCCTCCAGACTCTGGGTCCTTGGTTTCCAAATGAGATGCAAAAGTTGCTCTCATCAGAAAAAAGGACTTTGGACCACTGAGCAACAGACCAGGTCTGTTTTTCTTTAGCCCAGGTAAGACGCTTCTGACGTTGTCTGTTGTTCAGGAGCGGCTTGACAAGAGGAATACGACATCTGAAGCCCATGTCCAGGATCCGTCTGTGTGTGGTGGCTCTTGATGCACTGACTCCAGCCTCAGTTCACTACTTGTGATAGTCCCCAACACTTTTGAATGGCCTTTTCCTGACAATCCTCTCCAGGCTGCGGTCATCCCTGCTGCTTGTGTACCTTTTTCTTCCACACTTTTCCCTTCCACATAACTTTCTATTAATGTGCTTAGATACAGCACTTTGGGAATATCCAACTTCCTTCAAAATTACCTTCTGAGGCCTTCCCTCTTTATGGAGGGTGTCAATGATGGTTTTCTGCACAACTGCCAGGTCAGCAGTCTTCCCCATGATTGTGATTCCTACTGAACTAGACTGAGAGACCATTCAAAGGCTCAGAAACCCTTTGCAGGTGTTATGGCTTACTTAGCTGATTAGAGTGGGACACTGTGGGCCTAGAATATTGCACCTGTTCACAATATTCTAATTTACTGAGATTGTGGGTTTGGGGTTTCCATGAGCTGTAAGCTATAATCATCGCACTTATGACAAATCACGGCTTGAACTATCTTGCTTTGCATGTAATGCGTCTATCTCATATATTAGTTTCCCCTTTTACGTTGCATTACTGAAATAAATGCACTTTGGCACGATATTCTAATTTTTCGAGTATCATCTGTAGTCATCTTATAGTAATAATCCGATTGTCAAACATGTTAAAAACATACATAAAAAACACACACATGGGTATAATTTGTTTCTAAGAAGTTCATACACATTAAAGGGACACTGTAGTCACCAAAACAACTTTAGCTTAATGAAGCAGATTTGGTGTATATATCATGTCCCTGCAGTCTCACTGATCAATGCTCTGCCATTTAGGAGTTAAATCACTTTTGTTTCCGTTTATGCAGCCCTAAGTCCCCTCAAAGAAAACTGGTTTCATTTTCAGTCGGATGTTATTTTGCTTCATAAGTTTTTATCTCCTGTTCTGTTAATTGAACTTTAATCACACACAGGAAGCTCATGTAAGGTTTAGCAAGCTAACAGTGCAAGAGATAAGAAACTCTAAATTAAACAGACTGTGCTACATAGGAAGTTTAAACATTAGATGTTTTACAGAAGTGTTTAGGAAGACTGTTGTAGGCCACATGCAGATAAGTATAACTAGGGTTGTAAAATAAAGTGAATTAACTACTAAATGGCAGAGAATTGAGCAGTGAGACTGCAGAAGAGTGATCTTTAAAGTAAAACGGCTTCATTAAAGGCACACTAAAGTCACTAGAACAACTACAGCTTAATGTAGTTGTTCTGGTGTCTATACCATGTCCCAGTAGGCTTTTTGTTGTAAACACCGCTTTTTCTGAGAAAAGGAAATGTTTAAATTTCAGCCTAGGAACACTGCTTGTGGACACTCCCCAAACAGCCACTAGAGGTACTTTCTTACAGCTTAACTTTCCTCCTAGAGATGTATTGATTTGATGCATCTCTATGAGGAGATACTGACTGACCGCCCCACCTAATGGCTGAGATCATCAGAATCTTTTTATGGGAAAGCATTGTGATTGGCTGAGATGATCAGTTCTGATTATGACAGCCAAGGAGGTGGATCAGTAGAAGACCTGTGCAGCACTGAAAATAAGATAAGGTTTTACTATATTAAGGGTGGCCATTATTTATTTATAAAGTATTTTATTTATAAAATATTTTAACAGGAAGGATACATTGAGATTTCTCCAGTTTCCAAGTATGTCCCAGGACCTAGATAGTGATTTTAACACTATAGGGTCAGGAATACAAGTTAGTGTTCCTGGCCCAATAGTGTTCCTTTAAGCTAAAGTTGTTTTCATGACTATAGTGTCCGTTTCATCCAGGTGAACCAAAAACATAAAGATAGCTAACCTGCTAACGATAGGTGAAAAAAGCCACAGATTTGCCATCACCATGTTGAGGGGGAAAACAAACTGTAAGACATACATATTATCCATAAGCAGATCACCAAGACAGTAAATAGGACAGGATACAATAAACCCTATATAAATGTGAGATTCGACTGTGCAAGGAGTGAAATTTACACCATTGAATAAAACATTGAAAAATCTGTAATAACTTGTGTCAACCTTATTCATGTTTTCTCTGTTTTCTTTGAAATTTGTATTAAATATAGAAAGTTTTAACATAATCTAGTTCAGACATTACAAAGCCAGTCAAATGTTGCAAATGAGGAAATGAGGAATGAGAGTGTTTTACTCTCCTCTGCATGCTTTCTGTGCAGACTGTCAGGTGCAAAGACAGAGCTGACAACAATCACGGTTAGGGAGCTAAGATGGAGGAACCCAACTGTAGGATAAAGAGGTGTGGATTTCTACAAATTTTAATATTATTTCACACTTCACATATTTAAATATTATAAGTGAAAATAAAAATTCTAAAAAGGAAATAAAGATATGACAGCTTTCCTTTAAGCAACAGGGCAGTATGGATTAGTGATGAAGGATTAGAGGGCAGTGTAGAAAGATAGTTACCAGCTCCTTACATATACACTTTGCACTAACAATGTTGTAAACACAGTATTATCATTAGAGAAAGATAAGACTTGTGGATTGCCAATTGTGTCCTTTTAGTGTGCTTGTTCACTATTTATTTTTTGTATATTTTTATGCTTAGGAAGTTTTGGTTTTTATATTGTTGGGAGATACCCTTTAATAAATAGTAATTTTTAACACACACTTCTGGGCATTTGGTTCCGGTATATAGGTGTGTAGTAACTCAATGAAGTGGTCTGGGTGCCAGGTCCCTCTAGTTTTAACCCTGCAGCTGAAAACATGGGCCATTAGACGCCGCTTCCTCGATTGTCACTGTGAAAATCACAGTGAGAAGATGCTGACGTCCATAGGAAAGCATTGAGTAATGCTTTCCTATGGGCGTTTCTAATGCGCATTCGGCTCCACTTGGGAGCCAACGTCGGAGGGGGAGGAGAGGTCACCAGCGCAGAGGGAGCACGGCGCTGGATAAAGGTAAGTGGCTGAAGGGGTTCTAACCTGTGCAGCACTGAAAATAAGATAAGGTTTTACTATATTAAGGGTGGCCATTATTTATTTATAAAGTATTTTATTTATAAAATATTTTAACAGGAAGGATACATTGAGATTTCTCCCGTTTCCAAGTATGTCCCAGGACCTAGATAGTGATTTTAACACTATAGGGTCAGGAATACAAGTTAGTGTTCCTGGCCCAATAGTGTTCCTTTAAGCTAAAGTTGTTTTCGTGACTATAGTGTCCGTTTCATCCAGGTGAACCAAAAACATAAAGATAGCTAACCTGCTAACGATAGGTGAAAAAAGCCACAGATTTGCCATCACCAAGTTGAGGGGGAAAACAAACTGTAAGACATACATATTATCCATAAGCAGATCACCAAGACAGGAGGGTGGGGGGGGGGGACCTAAGGACTACATAGTGCCAGGAAAATTAGTTTGTTTTCCTGGCACTATGGTGCTCCTTTAACTACACAATATGCTGTGATTGAGCCTATTGATGGCTCTATCTTTGTGAGTATCATTTCATTTGATTAATCACCTACCTAAATTGAGAATATAATATTGCACCTTATATGTTCTTTGTTTGAGCCTACTTTTAGGACTACAGAAAAGATTATACCAAAAGAGTGGGAGGTCGCCTAAACGGACCTACAGGCTATTCATCCCTGAGCTAGGTTTCTAGCTCAGAAGAATGTGAGTGGTTCCATTTATTGATTTTATTCCACACTGGTTTTTTAATTTTACAATACTGAACTCTGTATTATTTTTTAGGTATTTTATTACATCTACCATCATCAATGTACTATACTTTTTAAGCTTCATTTGTACTGATATTTAGCGCTACACCATATTGGCTAACAGTATTATCATTCCATAGCAAGAACATGGGTTGATTCTGGGGGAAAGGGGAAAGAACCCCGCCCATGAGCAGCGCAGTGCATTTAGATGTATTCATTGGTGGTATATCTGCTAAAGAGTGATTCCGCACCCAATTTGGTGTTCCTTTAAATGAGTGAATGAAGGATGCGTGTGTAGGGACCAACGTTGCACCTGCTTTTGCCTTTAGAATCACAGGGTACCAGAGGTAAAAGAAACACAAGTAAGGAATGGGGTAATTAATGTAGGAAAGAAGCCCTGAAGGAAGGCAGGGATGATGTGATTGAGGGGAGGAATGAAAACTAAAGTTTAAAAAAAGGGTAAGGATGTGTTTCAAGAAAACGGAATTAACACAACATTAAAACACTGGCAGGGTAATTCAATAAAGTGAAAATTTAGAGAGAAATTTAAAATTTAAGGTCAAAATAGCCAAACTGGACAAATTCTAAGCCAGCTATGTTTTCAGTTTGGCTAGTGTCGCCTTATATTTAATAATTTACTTGAAGTGTCACTTTAGTAAATAACCCTGATAGTAATGTGCTGTGTCTGAATGTATCACATAACTACATAGAAATAAAATGCACAGAAGTATGACACATTCAGACACAGCACATTGCTATGTAGTTGTGATCCATATGCAGGTAACAAGATAGTGAGCATGGATCTTACCTCCCCTGCTAGATCTTCAAACATAGATCTTTCAGGACCCTCGCCAAACAGGTTCGGCATTGGATTCTTCTCCAGTCTGTGTAATGGAGAGAAAGTTTGGTTTGAATAAGGAATGCTAGACAATGGTGAACTGCTTATTTTATAACTATTAGCTGGGAATAATAACTATTGTACATCATTTACAATTCATCACTTTATCATTAAATGTGAAGAGATTTCCAAACATTCTTTTTTTATAATAAGAAGATAATATAACAACCTCGGTTGGTATAGATTTTCCAGGAGCTGATCCACCTGAAATGGCTTAGGATGTGATTATACCTACTATACTTGGATTCTAAAAAATTAAAATATAATAAAAAATATATAAAAATACACTAAAAATGCAATATTGTAAAGATTTACTCAGATAAACTCCAATGTTTCAAAAAGGAGACTGATAAAAGTGCAGCAGTAATGTATGGTGTGTACGCCTTTAAATCTGCTATGGGCAGAATAGATGGAGTATACACCAAATATTATACTTCACATATAACAATAATACTAATAAGAGGTCTGATGGTATATATAGATAAATAAAATTAGTCTCTCCGTGCAATATAACCGTATGTGGTGTATGTGCCTTTAAATCTGTTAAAAAACAGACAGAATGAAACATATACCAAAATAGTGTACTTTTAGGAAAGATATAAACCATATAGAATAGGAATACCAGTTGGGGCAATAGAATAGAATATCGCTTAAAAATAACCACTTAAAAGATAAATCTTCCAGAGAATATAGAATAAAATCAAATTTATTAATAAAAGATACTCAAAAAATAATCAAAAAATAAGTGTATAAACTGATTAAAATACAAAAATATAAGCCAGGAACGTTCAGCAAGAATATTACCAGCACAATAGTAGTCCTTGTTTCAAATTTGTACCACGGACCGGCCAGGATGGATATGGATACTTTGTGTCACAAAAGTTTCCTCTGGCTGTTGGCTTGTCAGTGAGGTTAGCGTGCATCTCAGACCTCACTCTGAGAGGTGCACGCTGTAGATAGATCGGTCCCCAACTCGTGAGAGATTTCTCGATACACACAAGGTCCTACTGCTGGATTGTAGACTGCCACCGTATCCTGCTTGGCTGACAGCATTTTTTACTTTCAAACTAATTTTAAACACTAGTTTTACTTACTGTCAATTATTTTCCTTAGTATTAAGAGCAATATACAAGAGATGTTCTGGCTTTATAAGGACAGGTTCTGAAAATTAAAAAGGATTAGAGCCTCCCCCAGGCCCTTCAATTAAATACTTTATGTTATGCTAGGACCCTCAATAGTAACATTAACTAACCAGTGAAAAACATGAAATAATGTGCACAATTCCCTCCCACAACGTCAGCCTTCGGGATCCTGTTCGTGCGATATCTTTTCAGGGGTATTGTAGCAATGTGTGAGAAGTTTAAAGCCAGATTCCTGAAACTTGGTGCCAGTTGAGGTTTTGTACGTTAACATAAAGATATCGTGCGATTTATCCTTGGTGAACGAGTGCTGTAAGTCTAGCTCCCAGTATTTTGTGTAGTATGGAAGGAGGATGTCACGTGGTGGGGTGTTTACGTCAGCGTATAAAATAGAAATCGCATGAGGTGAAAGGGAATCCTGCTGGTACAATGATATGAAGGTGGTCAGGGGTCGAAGTGAGTCAGGCAATCTAGTTATGAAATGTGAAAGTTGACGAAAGCGGAATTGCGTCAGTAGTGAATGCAGCGTACAGATGTTCAAGTCATGTAAGGTACTCTACCAGTCGTGTGTGTATATGTCTCTTAGACGTAGAGGCTATTGGAGCCCTAGTGAGGTCACAAAAGGTTTAGCATCTGCCGATGGGAATTAAGAGTTCCATGTTATGGGCATTAGAGGAGACAGAGGCAGGGATACATCCTCCGGCCCCATTACTTCTCTCCACACCACCATAGTAGCCAAGATAACAGGATTTTGGTTCAGAAGGGAAGGGCAAACACCAGGTTGCAACCAGGCTAGGGCAGCTATGGCATGTAAGTGAATTGGCCTTCCAGATGTGCCCAGAGTTTGTCCAGGGGTGCAATATTCCACTCTACTATCTGTTGTAAGTGTACAGATCTGTGGTATGTGGCCAGGTCTTGCAATCCAGGCCTAACATTAACTAACCAGTGAAAAACATGAAATAATGTGCACAATTCCCTCCCACAACGTCAGCCTTCGGGATCCTGTTCGTGCGATATCTTTTCAGGGGTATTGTAGCAATGTGTGAGAAGTTTAAAGCCAGATTCCTGAAACTTGGTGCCAGTTGAGGTTTTGTACGTTAACATAAAGATATTTATGGAGGATATTTATTAAAGGAGGAGACTATATTTAAAAGAAGAGAAACTACCACAACAAGAGGACATAGTCTTAAATTAGAGGGACAAAGGTTTAAAAATAATATCAGGAAGTATTACTTTACTGAGAGGGTAGTGGATGCATGGAATAGCCTTCCAGCTGAAGTGGTAGAGGTTAACACAGTAAAGGAGTTTAAGCATGCATGGGATAGGCATAAGGCTATCCTAACTATAACATAAGGCTAGGGACTAATGAACGTTTTTAGAAAATTGGGCAGACTAGATGGGCCGAATGGTTCTTATCTGCCGTCACATTCTATGTTTCTATGTTTCTAATGAAGGTGTCGTACTGCAGGTTTGCCTTGCGGATGCGCCAGAAGTATTCCAGGAAGATCCGTTGAGTCTGTTCGAAGAAGTCCTGAGGGACGTGGACTGGTAAAAATTGTAGGAGGTACAAGAAGTAAGACAGAATGTTCATATTCAAGACTCCCAGTCTGCCAAACCAGGTGATATGCTGTAGAGACCAATTCTGCAGGCCCTGCCTAACTCAAGTTAGTAGGGGAGTGAAGTTTAGCAAGAATGTCTAAACAAGATCGGAGGTTATCATGGTGCCTAGATACTTCATTGCTACACTGCACCACCTGAAATTACACCCAGTTTTCACAGTGGCTACCAGTGACGCCTTGTATGTAAGGTTGAGAACATCTAATTTACTTTCGTAAAATTTACTTTCAGATTTGATAGGTATGTAGGATTTGTGATAGAAAAAAGAAGGTCATCCACATATGTCACCACGCAATATGAATAGGAGGGGAGATAGGGGACACCACTGTCTAGTGCCCTTTTTGATGAGAAAGGACATTTTTCACACACAAGCGTGCAAAAGGACCAAAATGCAACTCCAAAATTGAAGCCAGCATATTTGGTCCCAGGCCAACTCGACGCAACACCGCAAAACGAAAGGTCCAATCTACCTTGTCGACCACCTTTTCTGCATCTGGCAAAATAAGTAATGAGGGGCTTCAATCTCTTGAAGCATTGTATATCATATTAAGAACTCTGGTAGTACTGTTGCATGCCTTTCTTCCCAGGACAAAAACCCACCGGGTTTGGGTGGATGAGGCCAGGGAAATGTGGCTGCAAGCAGCATTCAACAGGTAGATTGGTCGGTAGCTCTAACACAATCCTTCCCCTCCTTGGGTAGCACCAAAATATGTGCCTGGAAGGCAGAATCAAGTCAGTTTCCCTGTTTAATAGGTTTCAGTATATGAAGAAGGTGTGGGGTCAGCAAATTTGCATATGTTCTGTAATAGTTTGACATAAAACCATCAGGGTCGGGGCTCTTCCCATTTTTTGATAATTTATCTCTCCCCATCCGGTGTGTTTGGTTCTTCGAGGCTTGGTAATGTATTGCAAAATATAGCTGAGCCACTCAGCCACTGACAAGGGGATCAAGGTCTCGAGATGTGTTCTCATCGATGCTGTAAATCGCTGAATAAAACTGGTATAACCCATCAGCTTTGTCCACGGGGTCACCAGGGTTCAGCCGTCATGTTGTATCTTACTAACAAACTATTCTTTTTCTACCTTCTCTGAGTGCTCAAGCTAATAGCTTTCCACTCTTGTTTCCATATTTATAGAATGCCTTCCTAGTATTTGAAACAGAAGTTTTGAGAGCATTATCAAATTATTTCCCTGAAATAACCATGTCTGCTTCCAATGCTTCTTGATCCTTGTTATCTGTCTGCAGTATTTCCCATTGCAAAGATCTTAATCTGGCTCTTGAGCAGGGAGAAACAAACTTCCAATTGGAGAACATGAATTGTTATATGAATGATTTCTTATTATAGTGTCTTGAACCTGCCATGAGAAACCTATAGTCCACGTATGTTTTCAGTACCACTCCATGTTGTGCTAGGTAAGAGGTCAAAGGAAGCATAATCTTTGTAAAGATTATTGGGGTAGTAGAGAACCCAAATTGAAGGGCCTTGAATTGACAATATAGCATCCTCTGTTTTACCATTACTGCTTTACTGAAGAATTTCCTTGCTGACACATCCATCAAAACATGGAGATTGGCCTCTTTTAGATCTAGAGTAGCCATTAGATCTTTTTCTTGAAGAATATGATGAATGGTATAGTCTCCATACAAATTTTCTGGTAAGCTATGCATCTGTTGATTCTCTTAAAATCCAGAACCATTCAAAAAGAGATCCATCTGATGTCTCCAACAGAAATAACCTGTAATAGACCCCTTGAAATTGTTCTTTGACTGGAATCTTTTCTATGTCTCATTTTATTAGGAGATTGAATATTTTGGAATGTCTTCCTTATAAGAATAAAGAACTGTGCACTAGAGGTTTTGTAGGATGCGGGATTAATTGCTTTAACCACACCCCAAAATATAAGAGAGCTGTGATTTCGCCTCAGTTTGTCATTTTCAAATGTCATTACACCAGCGCACATGCGCCGTTTCATAAAAATGTGTGCATGTGCGCAGCAGCCAGCATTAGTGTTGCTGGAGTAGCTAGAAGAGGCTGGGAAAATGGCAGTCTAGCAGATTGGTAATCCCCATGATTGGTGACCGGTGAGGTAACTCGGACATTACTTACATCTCCATTCCTATTTCATTTCCTGGAACTTGCTTTGACGTAGAAAACCTTCCAAAATACACAATATAATGAGCTCTTGGCTCAATTTATTTTGCCCCACCCGACAGACAGATTTCCCTATCCGATCATATATACTCAGGCCTACATCTCCAGTACCCTCCATAAACATAGTGGTGTTGCAATATTCTTAATGCCCCAATGTATTTTAAGGTGGTGAATACAATAGGTGACTTGGAAGGGAGGCATATTCTGCTCACTGTGCAACTGGGGTCAAACTTAATGCATTTTCTTAATATCTAAACCTTTACGGCCTTAGTAAATTCTGCCCCTACTCGCTATACCGTGAGCCTGTGGGGGTTGGGCTGCTCACTGTTTACTAGACATGCCCCTACTCGCGGTATAGCAAGTAGGGGCAGAATTTACTACTAATAAGTCATCTTTACTTGGTATTACTAAATTTGACTGAAATACCAATTTAGGTCTTTCAGCCTTTTGGTAGATAGCTCCCTAATACCGTGGGAATTAGGGAGTTATCTACTAAGCGGCTGCAAGAGAACATAAGTCCCTGAAGTGCCGAAGTTGCTTTAGTTCCAAAGTGTCGAACTGAAGTGCTGAACAGAATATTTTCCCCATGCACATCCCTAACATTTTCGTAGAAGAAATGAGATGTAATTTGCCCATTGGGACTGGATTGTTTATTGCAAATGGGTATTGCAAAGTAGTCCTGTGTCCTGCGGACAACAGAAGAACCAAGCATCGCTACAGCCACCTCATTTACACTTATGGGACAATTTTAGAGGCTGGTTTGCTAGCATCAAGCCCATCGCCTCTGTAACAGATTATTTACACTGGGATTGAAGCCTTGGGATGCCTAGAGAATGCGGGGATGCAAAAGGTACTTAACATTTGTGGATTATGGAGAAGTTTCCCACATTTCAAGAATTGCAGTTTCTCCTCTTACTAATAGAGATTATTTCCAGTAAATCCGTAACTTTGCCCAATCTAAAGGGATTAAGAAAGCAGAAGAAAATTGGCTCAAGTTCTTTGAGGTGTTTAAGAGAGGGATCTTGGAGAAGAGTTAGAGGGCACTGCGTGGAAGACATGTTTAAGGCAGCCGCTAAGGTTTTAGTCTGCGGTGTCTTCCAAGAACAAATGTATAAGAATCTATACTGCTGGCATCCAGCACTGGTTCTGTTACATCAAATGGGGAGATCCTATATAAACCTCTGTTGAAGAGGCTGTGGTCACATAGGTTCTTACCACCATATGTGGTGGGGATGCACTAAATTAGCAATGTTCTGGAGGGAGGTGGAAGGCTTTCCCAAAGACGTTTTTCATAGACTATTCAACCAAAATTGATGTTGCTTTCATGCCCAGTGGAGGGCATTCGATCCCATTTGCAAAGGTTATATAATAAGATAATGTTGGCAGCTCAAATATTACTTGCAGCTAAATGGATATAGGATTACGTTAAGAAGAGAGATTGAGGTTAAGGTCAAAGCAAACTATGATATGGACAGATTTACTGCCCTGGTTCCAAACGCTCTTCCTTTTTTCCATAAAACCTTGGACATGTGGTTGGAATATGACCCAGATAATCAACTTTTACTGTAATATCTAAAGGCTGTACTTTGAATCCACAGTGGGTCATAATTACCTTTTTACTTATTCTTTTGCTTGCCTTTTTTCCATTATCTTTATTTTTCCTCTTATTTATTTCATACTTCTTCCTTAACCAACTCTATTCTTTGTCTTCTCTTCTTTTTTCTTTACAGGGTTATGTCAATCTTTGAATAATGTTCCACTATAAGGTGAGTAGTATACCTTGATATGTCTATTCATGTTATTCTTTGTACTATTTCCTATATTGATTTGAGAAATTTCACATACATTCATCACACATGTTCTTAAATGTACTTCATAGTACTATAGTTTGTATTCTAATACTATGTACCTTTCTAAAAGACACATACCTCCACTACAACATGTGTCTCCTGCGTCTTCTGAGGTTTGCGGTTATGGGTTAGCTCTCATACGATAATTAAACATACAACTGTATCTCATCTGCAGTATTAAATAAAGAATTGAAAAACAAAATAAAAAAAAAGAAACTGTTTCCAAATCAGTCTTTACTTGCCCTTTCAGATGTATATGAGCTCCTTGAACAATCACCTACGAATAACTCAGAAGATGATGGAGAACTCGATCTCTTTTTTTTCTATAAGAGCAGCAGTTATCTGCATTGCTAGCTCTTTAAATTCAGAAATAACCTTTGTTGCAATAACCCTGAAACCAGGCAAGGAATAATTGTATTTAATTATGCTGAGATTTCTCAATAGAGGCTGTACAGCAGTAGTAACAATATTAAATTTTTCTCCATCTGGGAGCGGAATGGCACCATCTGCACCTATGACGTGCTTAGTTTTGTGTGTAGCTTTAAGCTTTTGTGGAGGAGGTGGTAAATTTTTCTCTCCTTTAAGTTCTGCCTCCCAAGTCCGGGTCTCACATCCTCCATTTCCAACACCCAGTCAGAGTTTTAACTGTGAAACTGAAGATACTGCCCAGATAGGTCAGCCTGCAACAGCCTCCCTAACCAGCAAACCGTGTTATCCCACCAACAACCTTTCTATCCTGTCAGCTGCCTGTCCTGCGACAAGGGCTGAGAGTAAGTATCGCTAGTCACTTACCTTGGCCCTCCAGCATTCTCTGTGACGGTGTACACTGGCGCACTGCATAATTGTGACTGTCAAAAAAGGTTTTTTATCATCCATGATTCATAAAGAATTCCACCATAACGTGGGCCAAGAGAAACTAAGTACTGCCTATATATACTTACCTCTCCCACTCCATGTTGACCTGTTGTAGTTCTAGTAGCCCAACAACGCATTCCTTGTGTTTCACTCTAAGGACCGGTACATTGAGAGTCTACTTGTTGTTACTTAGCTCTGTAAGGTTTAGGTTCCTTCCAGATCTTTACAAAGAGTGTCTGAGAATAATATAAGGTATTTAAACAGCCTGGTGGAAGTTCTAATCCGGTTTTATTTTCAAAATGAGGTTACCAGTTCCTATAAATCCAGAACATCTATAGTGTACTGTCGCTATATGTGAGAAAAAAGGTTTTAGTGCACAATCGATCAGGTATAAAGGAAATTTTTCTCTGTATTTTTACATGCTTTGTTTGTTGATTTTGCACTCATGTGCCCCAGCATCAATAACACTCAATAAAATGTTATACAAAAAAAGAAAATCACATACTGCAACATTTCCTTAGCACTCTAAAGCACTGTCTCTTCACCTGGACACAGCTGCAGAAAGGATCCCAATGCTGGTTTCACGAGGTGGCATTGAAGAATGACCAGGAGGTTTTTCCACTGACAAATTCAAGGTAATATGACCTTTCTCTGTAGTACCAATCCTAGAAATATAGCAAGTATATTGGGGCAAGTGTGAGTGAATTCAGAAAAGAAACAATTTGTCTTAGACTGCAAAGAGCAAATACACTAGTTAATAGTACTACAAAGCAAACAAGAAAACCTGTTTAATAAAGTTGTGGTTCTAGTAGCTCTACTGCACTCCATAGTTCCATTGCATGTCAGCAGAGCAATACACAAACATGTATTCCTGACCCTATAGGGTTAAAACCACAATCTAGCCCCCCTGGCCCCTCATGCCTCCCTAAAAATAGTAAAATCTTACTTGTCTTCAAGTGTGGAGCTGCAGGCTTTGTCCCTGTTTCCTGTAGACCTGCCCACTGCCTGCTGACATCAGCAGAGGTGGTAGCCTGATCCAATCACAATGCTTCCCCATAGGATTGGCTGAGACTGACAATGAGGCAGATCAGGGGCAGAGCTAGCACAATTCAAACACAACCCTGGCCAATTAGCATCTCCTCATTGAGATGAATTGAATCAATGAATCTCTATGAGGAAGTTCAGTATCTGCATGCAGAGGGAGGAGACACTGAATGTTTGGATGCATTTTAGGCAGCCATGACCTAGGAAGGATCTCTAACAGCCATCTAGGGAGTGGCCAGTAAAGTTATCACTAGGCTGTAATGTAAACACTGCATTTTCTCTGTGTGACGTCATCTTCCGGCTCTGGCATCCCTATGCGGCGCGCGAGGGAGCTGAAGAGGAAGCACAGAGGGGAGAGTGCTCCCTCGTGCACCGGCCAGCCACCCAGCCCGCCCGGGTCAGCAGCACCACTGGACCACAGGGAATCCCCCCAGCACTCCAAAAGGTAAGGAGGCTGGGGGGATTACATTTTTTTTTTAAATGTTTGTGTGTGTTTGTGTGTTAGTGTCTGTGTGTTAGTGTGCTGGTGGGTGTGTGTGTTTGTGTGTTTTAGTGTGTGTTTGTGTCAGTGAGTGTGTCTGTTATTGGGTGTGTGTCTGCTAGTGAGTGTGTTACTGTGTGTGTTTGTTACTGAGTGTGTTTGATGTCTGTTAGCTCCAAATGCACATGCGTGGCAAGAGGCGCGCACGCATTTAAACCGCCCATAGGAAAGCATTACTCAATGCTTTCCTATGGACGTTAAGTGTCTTCTCACTGTGATTTTCAAAGTGAGAATCGCGGAAGCTCCTCTAGCAGCTGTCAATGAGAATCTGCTATGTTTTCAGCTCCAGGGTTAAAACTAGAGGGACCTGGCACCCAGACCACTTCATTGAGCTGATGTGATCTGGGTGTCTGTAGTGGTCCTTTAAGTGTGTGTGCATACCGCAGTCGCGGGGTCGCAGCCCTGCGACCAGGTGCCCACCACCATGTGTTGCGGCCCCGACCCGCGCCGAGTAAGCGCGGGGGGGCCCCGGTGCCATGTGTACGCCACTGCTACCAGTCCTGTGGTATCCATTTATAGACCATTATTAGCACTAATAGGGACTTGGTTTCCCCTTCAGACATTAGGAGCTCAGAGCAGGCGTTATAATTTTTGATGCAAGCAGGCTATAGTGATATTGATGGGTAATACCTTTGTTATGGACAGATGAATTAAAATAAAATGGCTATTTACTAATGTCTATTTATTCTCTGTTCACTATGTTAAAACTGGCTTCTAGAGTAAATGTTCCCTTCCCCCCCCTTACAATGTGGTCAGCTGCTGTTTACTATGTAAATTCCTCACATCCTGCTAGCCTCCCCTTTGTGCCAGTTAACAGCTATATGCCATATATAGCTAAATGGAGGATCATTGGTTTAGAACTGATAGATACCACTCACTCCCCCTTTCTCCGTGTATCTAAAAGTGTGTAATGATGACACTACATTCTGTAGGGGGGTTTAAACAAGAGGCCCCTTTCTCTGTTAACCAATTGGTGAATGTATACTGTATGTTTAAACTGTGACGTATTTTTGCTTTAAGAAGGAGCCCCCACTCCGGGCAATAAAGCATTCCTGGGTTTTTCACTGATCAGAAACTTTGTCTCCGGTGTGAATTACTTCTAGGGAAAGCGTGCACGCATTAATTAATCAATTTGGAAGGTGTAGATAGACAAATAATCAAAGTTTTCTTTGATCCAAAACAATTTGGTGGAGAATGCGGGCATTTAAGGGATACGTTACTAAGGCAGCCGTCAGATCCCAAGACAGGAGAGCAAAGGATTTCCAGAGATTGGAAACGGAGCCTGATCACCTCTGCATATGGTAAATGAGTTACTTACCTATATTTTCCTTTCTTTGGATTTCTCTTGTTCTCCGTGCCTTCACATTCGGCTTCCGGTGTTTAACGTCTTCAGACAGGTAATATATATATATGCCTGAATGTCCCCTTTTATATAGAACCTGTCACTTGTCTATCTACAGCCTGAGTCCTGAGTGAGAGTTTTATGTGTGAAAGTGTCTGTTTGAGAATCTGTTTTACTACTTGCTTAATACTGTTATATAATGCTGCCAAGTGTGGTTAAGCACTTGCAGGTTTAGCCAAGTTCGGGTTTGGTGGAAAACCCCTGGCTCTATATTTATTTTAGCTAAGCTTCGGTAAAGAAGTTATTGCGAGACTCGGTCAAGAGTTTAAAAATAAATAAATAAAATAATTTAAAAAAAAAAAAAATTATTTTAGCTAAGCTTTGGTAAAGAAGCTAGTGAGTGATGTTTTGGCCTCGTTTGGTAAAAAACCTGGCGGTTCCTTTGTTTTATTAAGACTCGGTCAAGAGTTTAAATAGGAGCGGTTTATGTGCTTGAGTGTTTCTGTGTGTGTGATTTGATTTATTATAAGCCGGCATTTATTTTAAGAACTTTGTGATTTAATTACATCTGTATTTTGTGCTTTTGTCTGTGTATGTCTTGTTGGGTACCATATATGTTAATTGTAATCTATACAATTTGTATCGTTACTCTCCTATTCTATCTTTTGTCCTAAGGAGAGCTGTGCTTAGGCAATCACATGGTTAAAAAACTTTGTGCTTGCAAGTCTTCCTCCCTCCTCCCCCCTCCTTCTTTGTTGCTTTCTCTTGCTCTGACTGCTATGAGTATTGGCTACAGGGGGGTGGGGTGAATGGGTGAAATGCTTGTAAACTCAGTGAGGAATGTGAGGGAAACAAGGTATATTTGCTGGACGAATAACCTAGTTAGGAACTTTGTGTAATCTTGTATATGTTGTTAAGCAAGAGGTTATTGGCATGTTGGAATAAGGAAAGTTAGATTTTGTTGGAACAAATGAATTGTGGAATTTATAAATGATTTCGCAGAGAAAAGTAAATTGCAGTTTGCATGTAATAGCAGCTATTCAGATGCTGTTTTGTGGCAATCTTTATACACACAATGTGAAATTGCCAATAGTGAAATTGACAAGAAATTGTTTGTTAATAAGAAAAAACAAAAGATCAGAAATGTTATGAAACTAGTCTGTACTTACAATGCATTGATTTGTAAACGAAATACAGGTAAAGACAATTTAGAATCAGCAGAAAAAGAAGTAGATTTGAATGGGTTAACAGAAGACAAATCAGATTTAAATGAACAGTGTAACAATGTAACAGAGAGCACATTGTCAGAAAAAGTCTGTGAATTAGAGGATAGAGTTGAATTAAGAAATGATCTTATTTGCCAGTTTACAAATGAAGCTAAACTAGTGTGTGTTAATACCAGAAAAATACAGGCACAGAATCTAATCCCAGAACTAACAGATACTGAAAATGTATCCTCACAGAGTGATTTGCAGAAATATAAATTCCAAGACAGAGCTGCAAAACTTAATTTGAAAATCCATGAACAATTAATGAAAATTGTGAAATCTATTCCAGTTTATGACATGTCAGTGGATGCATTTACTAATGCTGAAATGTTTGAGTCTAATTTAGACAAATACAGCCTAAATGACGAACAAAGGAATAGACTATTTCAAATATGGCTGCCGACTCAAATGGCATGTAGGCTGACCACGCCTGTAAAATTCGAGGACAATGATGAAATAATATATGGAAATAAGCAAGACAGATTAACACAATTAATAAAATTAACAACAGGGAATGATTTTGCAGACACTGAAATGTTGGAAAAACTAAAACCACACAAAGGGGAGGATATATTTAGTTTTCTTGTAAAATTTGAAAGTGCATATAGACTTGTTGCTAATTTTTCTGAAGATCAGTTAATTAATGAATTTGTGAAAAAATTTCAAGATCTAGATCCAACTGCAATTGTGTTAGCTAGAGAAAAAAGCACTTTGACAGAAGTAGCTTTGTTCTTGGATAACTTAAGGAGGGAAACCAATAATGAAGGGGTTAAAACGACTTGTGGATTTAGGCAGAGGAAGAAGTGCAGATTTTACACTCCTCCTTCTTCTTCTTCTAGGACAGAGTGTAGAGTGATACAGACAGCTGAGCCCCTCCCAATTTATTCAACTAAATATAGGGCAGTTGATAATATAGGGCAGAATATAACTCCTAAAGTTATTTGTTTTTGGTGCAATAAACAACATTATTTAAGATCTTGCAGATATTTTATCCGAGATATCAAATCAAAAGCAAATGAGAAATTAAATTTGTTGATTGAAAATTTTGACAGAGAAAATACATGTGGAGATAAATCAATAAAGGCCTTTCCTTGTAAACTTATAATCAGACAAATAAAAGCAATTTTAGCTAAATCAAAATTAGGAGACAGACAAGCAATGCAGTGTAACACAGAAAGTTATAAGAATCAGATAACTTCAAGAGATATGATCAGTTTAGGGAATGAGCATGGATATGTCTGCCAACAGAGGTACACAGGCTGATTCCAGAATTAAGAACAGCCAAGAATAGAGTTCTATGTTAGTTTGTTTTAATGAAATGTTAGTCTGAACTGTTTTTTCATTGTTTTATATGTATTTTAAGAAAGTATTAGGTTAATTAATTAAAATAAAAATGTACATCAAGTTTGCAAATATGGCAGAATGAAATACACTAATGTAGCAGTGAGGAACATGCAATGTATGTTATATTGGGTGTATGCAATTATACAGTAACTCCAATCATTTTACAGAAGGTAAAAAACA